GGGACATTAAAAAATAGACAATCCAAACGCGCTGGTGAAGAAAAACTATATGTATGTATGTAGTAGTAATCTCATGTTTGACACTAAGGGCTATCATCAGACACGGATTCGATTAGACACTCTAGTAGGAATACAGCCAATCAAGCTTTGAGAAACGTTTTGGTAACCTCCGAAGTTCTACTACCATCTGGCATCGAAACATTTCAAAGCAGCTCGACGTTTACTCGTTTGCTTTCTGGTAATCTTCCATCTGATATTACAAAAGGAAAGGCAAGGATGGTTAGCAAAGTGCAGGTTATATATGTCACTTCGGATCAACAACCTACCTCAGCATCCAACTCGGCAGCGCTTTTCTGGGGAGCTTTGGCGGCACCTTTGCCTCGGCCGCGTCCACCTCGACGATTGCCATTGGTGGCTGTTTGGCCATTTGCTCCAGCGCTTTGATGATGATCGGATGTTGCAGAGTTTAATAATGGTGAGATGATGATTCAATGGAGGATGGTCGCGTTTCGATCGGGAATGTTAAGAGTTGGACACGTAGGCAGCATAAGTCAATCGGATCTTCAGTATTTTACTCTCAACCGTCCAAGGCGTGATCATTCCCTCATGGGATCGATGTGAGATGAAGACGGCCTGGATCTTTCAAAAGCATGAGACAGTAATCACCTTGCAGGAGCGGTTTGCTTGTTTGCGGGAGCGACCCTTGTTGACAGCGGTGCGGGTGGGATACGACTGGGATCGACGACGATTTCAACTTTCATGGGTCGGTCTGAATATTGACAAGGTTTGAGGCAAGCATCGGGTCGAGGTTGAGAGCGAATGTTGATTGATGGCAAAAGGTTTTGAGAGTTTGACAAATTGGACGAGAAAGATGGAGAATGAGATCAGTGACTTGTTGCTGGCTTCAATGTGACTCGCTGAAGGTGTTCAAAAGCGGAGGCAGAAGTGGCACGAGAGACAGGCGAAATGCGTTTAGAGTTGGTAGGCCGTGATGAGCTCTTCCAAAGGTAGAGTGATCATCATGCTTGCAAGACTTAAATCGCGCCCCAACATCATGAACGTCTCCGACAATCTGTTGAGGTTGCCACCAGCCAAGTATCCAGTAACTGCACATGATCCCTCTCTTCTTTTCCTCGCTTGATGGTTGGATTAGCGCATCTTGGCATACGAAAGCTGACGAGAGGTTGATCGAAGTTACGAAACAACGCCAACTGGATCTGCCACTACTTCGACGAGTGCCTTGTGATGACAGGGACCATGTTCATTTACAACCAGGATGGATGACTGGCGAGCGCCTCAGGAAACCAAGCCTTGGGGAGCCAGTCCCATCCAACGACCTGGTTGCAGCAGGCACAAGGGAAGAATTGCAAGGCGAGATGTCCAACAACCCCCAAGAGGGTGAAGTAGGCCGATCCCCGGAACGAGCAGAGCAGAAGACCATCGGCCATGAGGCTCGGGTTGGGGCAAGCTGGTGCGCGAGTGAAGAGAAAAATGCCTAGAAGAAGAAGCTCAATGGGTAAATGAAGAACGAAATAACGAACTCTGGTCAATTAGACGCTGAGGGATCGTTGGGAGGAGTGTCAGCTGATGTCTCGGAAAAAGATGACGATGGTTGAGGGGAAATGCGGTCTGAAATAGGGAGGGGGGATGAGTGTTATGAAAAGTAACCTTGTTGTACTGTTGAAAAGCCTTGGTTGCGTCCTCGTTCCGTTTAAACTCGACCTGGGCGATACCCTTCGAAGCACCACGGTTATCATAGCTGAGGGTGACTCTTGTGACATGACCGACGGTAGTGTTGAAGAGTTCTCGGATCTGATTTTCAGTCACATCTGAAGGCAAGTTGGAGACAATGATCTTGCTTCCTTGACCCATCTGAGGGGGAAGCTGAAGAGATTTGGCGGTTGAGACTGGTGCAACGACGGGTTGAGCACGAGGGGCACGGCCATTACGACTGAGGGCAGCGGAGGGATGGTCTGTGTGAGTTGAGGGTGAGAATCAAAGGGCTAGATGGAGATGGTTCGCTTACACTGGACCAGTACCATTGGTCCGGCCTCCACGGCGAGCGATGCCACCTGGGCGCTTATGTTGCTTGCGCTTGTCGGAGATGCTACGATGATAGAAGGTGGGGGGTCAATTGGAGTGTGAAGGATGGACGCGAGGGAGTGAGGATGCTGTGGATCGGTGGCTTACATGTCATCCAGAGGTCGGTCGAGGTTCATAGCAGTGGACATGATCGGAGAGGTGGTTATGCGAAGGGGGAGGGGGAAGAAGGGATGAGTGGGTTGTAGTATGTAGGAGGAGGGGATAGGAGTGAGTGGTTGTCTTTCTTGTGGGCTGATGGAGTATTCAATACTACAGTCAATCGATTCGGATCGGGAGATTAAGGATGAGATTGTATTGATGGGAAGTGTGTAGTTGAAGATGGGCACAAGGTCAGGAGGGCGGAGGGGGAAGTGGCAACAGGTTTTTTATAGTGGTCAAGGAGGCGGTCAACAAGGGGCGGGCTGTGGCAGGCTGAATTTGGAAGTCTCTATAAGCATACCCATCACCAGTATGCTAATACTCGAGCTGTGTCGCAGCCGATCCAAGACATGTCACACAAAATCCCTTGAAACAAAACCAGGTACACATGAGATCAGAAACATGTAACAAGCTCTGTACACTGCATGCATAGACATCTGGAACACCCCCAGATCGTCGTCAGTCTTTGACTCTTGCAAGTTGCGGGTGGATATCATCAAGCTCAAAGTCACTGACAGCCAGACCAGCAGACTTCACAACGAAAGATCGCGTCGCGCCTGGGTTCCACCTTCTGATGCATAATCCATTTCAGCAATCGTCTAATCGGCTTGTTAATGAAGATTTTGGCAGATTAATCAAAGCCATCAATAGCAATCGTCTAAAAAATCCGATGGAAATTAGTACAAATAACCAAACCGTAACAAATCAAGTTTCTGTCACTTGAATAAGGAAAAGCTTTCCCACTCTGAATCAATCTAACCAGAGGAATGTTATTGGAGGACTTCCTGTCACCATTTAGAGTACTTTTCAAGCCCTCCCCAGTCCTAAATTGACACCCCAATCATAATTCTAACCTACGCATCCGGATATCCGCGCGGATGCAGATATCCGGCTGCTTTTTCAGGCCAAATGGCCGTCCGCATCCGCATCCGCACCCGCTAGCAGGTATCCGTCGGCCGCAGCGGGTATCCGAGCGGGTATCCATGGATACCCGCCCTTTAAAGGGCCGGCGAGGCGGCTGGAAGGAAATCCTTCCAGCCGTTGAGGTACATGTACCTCGTCGGCTGGAAGGGTTTCCTTCTAGATGGCGAGGTACATGCTCGACGGCTGGAAGGAAATCCTTCCAGCTAACAAGGTAGATTCCCTTCCAGTCGACCGACAAGGTACATGTACCCCGCCGGCTGGAAGGGTTTCCTTCCAGTCGACGAGGTACATGTACCTCGTCGACCGGAAGGATTTCCTTCCAGTCGACTGGCGAGGTACATGTACCTCGTTGACTGGGAAGGATTTCCTTCCAGTCGACAAGGTACATGTACCTTCGTTGACTGGAAGGATTTCCTTCCAGCCGGCCATCTGCCCTTCCGGCCTCGGGTATCCATTGAGATACCCGGGTATCCGCTGGAAAATCAGCGGAAAGGGCAAATCCGCACCCAAACCCGCATCCGCTGGCGGGTATCCACTACAGCGGGCGGGTATCCGCCAGCGGATAACGGATATCCGCAACGGATATCCAGAGACCAGCTCTAGCTTACATGAGATCTATCTTGACAAGGCTTCTGAAAAAAACAATTTTTTATATCAAAAATTAAGATCTACATAGGGGTGTAAATTCAATTCTGGGAGGGTTGTAACAACGGTGGGCCAGCTACGCAGACTGCAGCGTTAGTGTGGCGTAGTGTGGTTTAGTGTAGCAAAAAAAAACACTACAATTGAGTGTAGCATTAGTGCTTTTCTAATTTTCTGCGCTAACGCTATGCGCATGGGGCGCAAAGAAGCACTATTGTTTAGCGTAGCGTTAGCGCGATTCCCCCCATCTGTGCTAAATAGGGTTGAGGGTGCCATAGGTTGGATGTGCACCAAAGTGTGCGCGCCCTCGGGTCCCCAATGTTTTCAAAAATGGGGGTTGGTGCACACCTGACTTTTACCCCCCACTTTTTAGGATTGTTTTATGGATTTATAATTTCAACTTTAACTTTTCAATTATGGATTTGCAATTTTTGAGGTTAATTATTTGAAATTACATAAATAGTAAATATGTAGTTTGGCATCTGCATAATCTCACAGTTTGAATGTCCCATCAGCGCATGCAAGGCCAGTATTGGGTCACACCTTGAGCAGAGGTGTGCCACAATGGCCATGAGGAGCAAGAGCTGGGATCTACAAGTCAGTCCAGTCTG